GGCTCATGCCACATCATGAGGCCATCAAGCAGCACATGGAGGGGCCCACCTGGTAAGGAACGAAGGCTTCCTGCCAACAGCCAGTGAGTGAGCCACCTCAGCAGCAGAATCCCAGCCCCAGTCAAGCCTTCAGATGACTGCAGCCCCAGATGACATCTGAAGACCCCAACCAGAACCACCTAGCTAAGCCATTTTCAATTTCCTGCCCTCAGAAACTGTAAGATGATAATTGTTTATTGTTTTATGCCAATTTAAGTTTGGGGCAAAACAAATGTGTTTTGCAGTAATAGATAATATTTGTGTTATACACACACACATAAAGGTAAAATTTATTTCCAGAAATAGAAAAATAGAATTAGTGTTGGGCAGGCCGAGGAGGGTGGATCACGAGGTCAGGAGATTGAGACCATCCTGGCTAATATGGTGAAATCCCATCTGTACTAAAAATACAAAAAATTAGCCGGGTGTGGTGGTGGGCGCCTGTAGTCTCAGCTACTCAGGAGGCTGAGGCAGGAGAATGGCATGAACCTGGGAGGCAGAGCTTGCAGTGAGTGGAGATTGCGCCACTCACTCCAACCTGGGCGACAGAGTGAGACTCCGTCTCAGAAAAAATAAAATAAAATAAATAAAAGAAAAAAGAAAAAAAAATACAATTAGTGGCTCATAGGATATGATAATTTCAAATGTTTTTGACATACATTGCCAAGCTGCTTTCTAGAAAGATTATAGCAATTTGTACTCTAACCAGCATATATGGGACTGCCTATTTTCAGGATACCAGGCAACACCTGGTGTTATCTTTTCAGTTTTTTAATAGAACACTGGAATGGAAGGGAGAAGATGGCTTCACATATGTACAAAAAGCCAGTTGCTGCAGTTAGGTCTAGAAACTTGAGACGAGACACTCTTGGAGATGAATGCTCACGAAATTGGGATGAAGTCTCTCTCCTCTTCCAACCTGCAAGTCTTGCTCTCTGGACAACACCTGCTAGAACAGGAACTATTTGAAGGAACAGGAACTATTTAGAGCAACCACAGGGGATGCTGGCGTCCAGCTGAACACAGACTGAGCTCCTTGTCCTCGCTCTCCAGGGCCCCCTCAATCCACCAGAGTTGTTTTGTAAAAATGTGCCAGTTGCCATGAAGGCCTCCCAGCCTCAGCGCATAACTCCTCAGACACTGGTTCTATTAAACATACCCCGAGGTGAGACGCAACAGTCCTGCGGGAGGGGGTAGTGGAAACCCTGTGCGGAGTGCTGTGGACAGAGCAAGTCTGGGCTGCACAAAATCTGCCATCTGCATCCAGTCACAGGATGATTTCCAAAACCATCTCCCAAAGTTGCTATACACAGGTAACTGCTTCTTAGTAAATGCCAAAGAAAGGCATGTTTTCTCATAAAATTGGAACACCGGGTCTCTTGTTGGTGGTGGGTGTTTCTAGTTTGATTACATATCGGAAGCATTTCCTAGCAGGGGCCTCGGACAGCGTCTCCAATGCTGAGAACATGGAAGTGCTGCTTCTCTCCTCTTCACCTCCCACTTTCCCAGTTATCTAGATGTCAAATGAAGCTCTGCAGAGAAAACATAAGCCCCGCAAGGGCATGAATGTGAAAGTGTGTGTGTGTGTTTGTTGGTGGCAGGTAGTGGGGGCTGAGACAATGGAGGAGAGGGGATGGGAGTGAGTATACCTCATCAAAGTAACTGACTTGGCAAATACACTTATGAAATCTTTCTTGCATGTTAAAGAAGTCACCCTCATCCTTTGTTGTTTCTTGTCTCCACTCCCCTTCCTCTCTGAAAAACAAAACACACAGAAAAATATAAAGGCGAATAAAACACACACGTTGAAATGATCGAATGTTATCCTTTTGTCAAATTGGCTTCATATTTCTATCATGAAGTAAATCCTACAAATGACAGATAGTTACTTTGCTCTCCCTGATCCTGTTCACTTCTCTGCCTCCCCTCAGGTAAGGACCATCATGAAGTTCATGTTTTAATTTCTAATTCTTTTAGCACACAAACACATTCAAAAACAATGTCTGTTGTTCTATGTGAGTTGACATGCATTAGTACTTACTCAGCTTGCTTTATTCACTCAGCCAGGGCCACAGGTTGGTTGCCCAGGCTGTGCACTGCAGTTCCTGAGGGTTGCATTCATACAGGCCACTATGATGGCTCTCTTGGGGGTGTGCAGGATAGCAGCCTGCACTCCAAATTCTGTTTTTGAGATCCACGTTGATGCCTGAGAGTGAGTTCATTTTCAGTACCTGATAGTTCTCATCATGTGGCTGGGCCGCATTTCATTTTTCCATTTCCTTAGTGGAAGGCAACATTTTGCTATTGCAAACAGTGTTTCAGAGAACATCCTTATGCATGTCTGCATATGTACAGGTGCACACATTTCCCTGGGGAATCATCATTCTCTGTTTGAGTTAACTGATTTTTAAAACATGATTCTACTGAACATTGTAATAAGAAAAAGACAAACGATAAAACTTAAAATATTTATTAGTATGAATCAGTGTGTGTTAAACCAAAAATAACAGATACAGTTGGGCATTGTTGATGGAAATGCTTTACTACAGAACAGAATACATGGCGGAAAGGTCCTAGCTGACTGCAGCGGTGTCTTGTATGTGCAAGAGCTGGGTCCGGCCCAGACAGAAGCTCTTTACAAAAACATGAGAAAAGGGAGCAGTTTGCACAACAGGGCAGCGCCATCGGATTATGGGGTCTGGTTTCGAAATGATGTTAAAACAGTAAGCTAGATACCCAATCGGTCTGAATACAGCTCAGAGCCCTTTAGTTTCTAAGCTAGCTCACCATTCAACTTGCCATGAGCATTGAAGAACAGTGAGAACCGAAGCCCACACAAAAAAGCTCAGTTTCAGCCATCACATGTCAAGGTCCTTGATTGTAGAGGAAATATTTCAGTCATCCAAACCTTTCTCAGAAAATGAACTGAGTTTCCACTGGGGCACAGCCCTTATTGTTAGCTAAAAGTTAGTTTTGGGCCTTCAACCTTTTGGTCTGCAAGGTAACGTCATATTCAACAGCCTAATGTGCCATTTTTAACCATAAAATGGCAAGTCAATTATGTGGCGACGTAAAATGCTTGCACAACTCCACTGCCATTCTCAGAGATTTCCACTGGGAAGTCATCCCTCTGAGAAGCCATGTCTACCTTATATTAACACATGGCTAGGGGCCAAACTCAGCCAGTGAAATGGATTATATGTCGCGGTAACACATATACAATCATATTTACACAGATACACACTCATGCCACGCATGAAAGAAAAAAAAAAAGGGAGAAGGAACAAATTTTGGAAAACGATGCCAAGGATGCTACATCACATGAAACTACATGACGTTTTTTTAGCAACAGTAATTTCCAGGCCTTTACATAATGTTATGTGGTTATGATTCAATTATTAGACAGCCAGGAAGTAATCCCGAGCCAAAACAAAGGAAGGCTGTAAAGCCCCATTGTAGACAAGGCCTCAGCATCCACAGAGAAGATACAATGTTTATGTGAATCCCAGTGTGCCCAAGTGTGATCTCCTCTCTTCACCGACTGCTCTGAGTGCTGATGAGAATATATATATAGTCCTCCGACTGGCTTGAATAGCTAAGGTAATACAGAAAGGTAACAGAGTGGTTTCACACCCTCATGTGCTTTTGAAATAAAACCATGGGCTCATGTGTGGCTAAGACTAGACATTTTATGCAAAACACAACCACTGCAAACCCAGCCCAAAGATGCAAAACTCTCAGCTAGGATACTTACCACTTAGCTGAAAACCTGAACAGCTCTCAAGAGATAAACCCAGGTTCTCAGGGAAAACTGGATGAGGAAAGGTTACAAAATAAGCCTGCATGTCAGCTGGAAAGAGATTACTTCAATTTTCAACTCGGTTTTTTTTTTTTTTTTTTTACCTTTGGCAAGGGTATGATCACTTCTTGGCCTGCAAGCACAATCATGCCAACCATTAATGTGGACAAGGTGGAAAAAACCCTAAAAATCCCTGCAAAAGGTCTTGCCAAGACATCCAAATGCCACTTGCTAACAGTTTCTGAGGTACCTATTTGGGAGAGCCAAATGGAACTCTTGAAGCAAAATAAATGTTTTCCAACCTTCACATCCTAACACTGTCAATGAACTCTCTTAAGTTGAGTGACAGGGAGGCGTGCTGAGTAACTGAAGTGCCAGGTCTTTAATCCAAGCAGCTCACGATCTCTTTCCTGACTTTCACAATATAGATTGTCAATAAAGGTTAGCAGTCCCTTGAATGCTCATGGCAAAGAAGGTACCAGCTGGCCCTGGTTAGCACACAGCATGATTAACCATTTCTGAGCACCAATCCTAATGTTCTTTAAGAATCACCCCCTAATAGAAGCCCTGGCAGGAAATCAACTGCCTCTTGATCCCAACTTTTTATGAACGTTAGAATGGTAATAGAATCAGCCGGGCGCGGTGGCTCAAGCCTGTAATCCCAGCACTTTGGGAGGCCGAGACGGGCGGATCACGAGGTCAGGAGATCGAGACCATCCTGGCTAACACGGTGAAACCCCGTCTCTACTAAAAAATACAAAAAACTAGCCAGGTGAGGTGGCGGGCGCCTGTAGTCCCAGCTACTCGGGAGGCTGAGGCAGGAGAATGGCGTAAACCCGGGAGGCGGAGCTTGCAGTGAGCTGAGATCCGGCCACTGCACTCCAGCCTGGGCGACAGAGCGAGACTCCGTCTCAAAAAAAAAAAAAAAAAAAAGAATCAGTTCTCTTCCTTTCCACACTTTTTTGTCCTTTACTTCCTTTGGATTCAAACATCTTTAATTAACTGAGCAGACAGGGAATCTGAAAAGGAAGGTTTTCATCAAAGCCCAGTCTCAGTTCCTCGGCATTCCAGGGTCAGGCCTCTGGTTAGCCCTAAAACCCTTCTCCTCAAGCTAGAAACATAAAAATACTTTTTCTGATTTTGTAGTTTTTTTGGGTCTAGAATTTTAAAGTACTGATACTTCCTCTGGCTGGCTTTCCTGTAACCTATTATTAATTGCTATTATTAGAATTTTGCCCAATGATTTAGATTCAAACATTAAATTTAATTCCAGTTAATTCTCTTCCCCTAGATATGACATCAAGAGATATTCTCTTAGTAAAGTAATACCATGTGCATTAAACTTCTCTAAGAGAGAAGGAACGTATTCCTGTGGAGGGGATGCACGTCAGGTGGTCTCTTGAATAACGTGTATATCCTGCATCTAATCACTCTTTCAAACTAGGCCACCCGATCCCAAAATTATACGCAATAATTTAGTTTGATTTGGTTTGTTTGGGTATATATCACCATAACTTAGAGAAATGTTCACCAATTCAAAGTGGTGTAGACTACAGTTTCTAATACACTTTTCCTGGCTTCTTTAATAGCTGAAGTCTCAGTCTGAGTGACGCTCCACTGACACTTCTCTGATTTCCTTCTGAAAAGTAATAAATAAAGGCTTGCTTCCAAAGCTAGCTAAAAACTAACCTCCTGAATTGAATTTGCCTTTCAGTGAAGGTTGGTTAGGTAACAAAGGCAATGACATTGAAGTAGTTACTGGAATTTGGATAGGCAGCACAGGAAATCCGAGTGGAACACCACTTTAGAATCCCACACACATAATAAGGCAGTAAGACTTCTGTACATCCAAGAATTTTTAAAGGTTTTTTCCTTTTTTTCTTTTCTTTTTTTTTTTTTTTTTTTTTAGCAAAAATGCAACTACTTCCCTTCTGTGTGCATTTCATACACTAAAGGCCATTCTGTGGTGGTGTGGTGGGTTTTCCCAGGGTTTTCTAAAATCATTTTCAGGAACATTTCCTGCCCCGCACCCTGCAGGTCTTCCAGGATGCAAAGCCAGTGTGCTCACTCTTCTCAAAGTGAGGTGCCAGGCCACCGAGCATAGCGTCCTTCAGCAGCGCACAGGATGTGGGCTCTGGCTTCTTCAACTACCACGTACCACGGACCACGGCCCTTGGGTCAACAGCACCGGCGGCTGGCTTGACTGGTTGGCTTCACAAGTTTGATCCCGTTGTTTCCATTTTCATGGGGGTCCAGGGGTGGGATCTGGCGGCCTAGAACAAAAAGGAGGCCAAGGGTGAGTTCCCTTTCCCACAGCCAACACTGCACACACAGATTTTCACCCAGCTTCAACACTCCTGCTTAATGTTTGGGCTGTGCAGAAAATAGAGGTGCTCCCGGAGGGGCTCCTTTCTCCTTCCTTCCTTTCCTCCCTCCCTTCCTTCTTCCTATCCTTTCCTCCCTAGTTCTGCTGCATGAAGCCTAATTCATGAGCTTAGGAAGTTCAGGTGAGGAACAGTCCAGCAGTTTCCCGGTGGTGTGGATTTCCTGGGCTAGGAAGATCCACTCCTGGGGGCAGTTCCCACCCAGCCTCCGCTCATCAGCGCACTCTTCCCTCCCTGCCTTCCCACAGACCCGTCCTGATTTACTGAGCAGCTTTCATGGTACCGTGACTTCAACAGTAACATCTTTTCTGCTTCTCAAAATAGATATGGATTTGAATTGTAATCTTCCTAGCAATGTCATTTACTAACACTCAGCTCATCATCCCTTGTCCTGCCAAGGCATTTAGATCATTAACTGGAAAGCCCTACAGAGACACTTTTCATAGGAAACAGTATTTTAATGTCATCCACAAGTAATCTTATTTTTACTTAACTTAATTTTAAAAATTATCAGAGAGTGTCTATAAATAAACACAAAATAAAAATTAATCAGGCAATGGAAGGGGCCAGGGAGATGATAGCTAAAGGGTATGGGTTTCTTTATGAGGTGATTATTCTAAAATTTACTGTGCTGATGGCTGCATGGATCTGTGAATATACCAAACGCCACCGAATTGTACACTTGAAATGGGTGAAATGTATGGTATGTGAATTTTATCTCAATAAAGTTGTTCTCTGAAAAAAGGCAATGCAATCTGGAAATAACCTTAGTAGCTCCCAGTTTTCAAGGATTTTCACAAACACCATCCTCACCTCGCCCTGTGAATTTGACGCAATGGTCGTTATTATCACCATTTCACTGTGACTCAAGAACTTGAGCGCTTTGCTGAAAGTTCCATCAATAATAGGCAGTAGTAGAGCTGGTGCTTTGATTATAATCTACACCTTGATTTCCTCATGGGTCCCAAGACCTGTGCTCCTCCCATTAAACCACATTAGCTCTCTCTGCTACTTTTCTATCCCCCTTGAAAAAGGCATGAAACACTAGCTCTAAACTGAGGATTCTGTTTTATTCTTGAGACAGGGCCTCACTCTGTTACGCAGGCTGAAGTGCAGTGGCTTGATCATGGCTTACTGCAACCTCGAACTCCTGGGCTAAAGGGATCCTCCCACCTCAACCTTCTGAGTAGCTGGGACTATAGGTGTGCGCCATCACACGCCCCGATAATTTTTTTTTTTTTTTGGTAGAGATAGGGTCTTGCTATGTTGCCCAGGCTGGTCTCAAACTCCTGGCCTCGAGTGATCCTCTCATCTTGGTCTCCTAAAGTGCTGAGATTACAGGTATGAGCCACCAGGCCTAGCCTACACTAACTAGAGGCTAGTTAGTGTACTCGTTTGCTAAGGAACCAGTAATTAGAAGTGAAAGGGAAATTGGTTCTAAAGACGAAGCCTTTTTTTTTTTTTTTTTGGTTGTGCTATTGATTTATTTTTCCCCAGCACATCTTAAAAATCACACATGGGCATTTGCTTAGAGAACAGTACAGTCTAAGAAAACCAGTAAGAGGAGAATCTGAACACACACTGAAAGCACGGAATACTGACCATGTGTTGAGCCCTGACAAAGTCTTAATGCAAGTGGATGTTACCCAGTGACCATAGAGAGAGTCAAAAACACCCCAGGAGAGGTGCATTTCCACAAGGGACATAAACAGTTGATTTCAAAGGTAATAATACACTGTGTAGATCGGATGGTATGGACAGTCACCAAAGCTTAATTAAGCATAAAGATTAAGTTCACCAGCATTTAACTCCAAACTCAAAAGTAATAGTAGAGATCTTCATTTGACGATGAAGCAAATGAAAAGTTTGCAACAATTTCTGCAGCTGTGGCTTTTGCCATTTTGTGTAGCCAACAGAGATCTACAGAGCTTTTGCAGGCCATCCCCAAAACACTTCAGTCCTAACCCAGGAGCAAAGGAGACCGTAAGTATGAGTTTTCCTTTTCTGGACAAGCTATTCTTTTAAATTTATCACAATTAAAAGGGAGTAAACAAAATGCCTCTTCTGCTTGGTCAATCTTAAGTGATAAATAGAGAAGGAAGTCTCCAATGACTACCAGTACTCTTTAAAGATCTAGCCGAGTCAGATCTTGCCAATGAAGAATTACTTACTCCTGAAGAGAAAGGGGTGACAGTGTCGAGTTACATCATTATTGAAGTTAGTAATATTTCAGGAGCCTCCTGAGTGTGTTACACACCGAGGAGGACTTTTGCTCTTGCACCTGAAATATTTTTGGACAGTACTATAGTTCTCGTGGGTACAGCTGTTGCCCTAGTTAGCCAAGAGCCAAGAGCTGTTTACTTATCAGTAAAAGGAGTTGACATTTCAGCATTTTTTTACAGTATCAAGATCAACATCCTATGCTAACATCAATTTTGTGGTGTCCTTATGCTAACTCTAATGTTAGCACAACAGCATTAGCTTTTTAGCCCTCCACGACTTTACTTCCCTCAAGTCTTGTTTTCACAAGTTTTTTGCTTTGGAAAGTATACAAATTAAAGAAAAAATTGATATGTAAGGCAGTTATTAAAGTGACAAAAGTATAGTGAAAATCTTGAAACAAAGAGCATACAGATAGCAAAGTAGGATGCCAGGACGGTCTGTCCACACCTTACACCTTTGCTCGCTTTCTGCCACCTCCTTCCTCTTTGCTGCCTCTCATTTCTCTCCCCAGTCAGCAATGAGCACTGATGCCTAGAATGCAAAATTGAGGAAGGCCTGGCTGTGTCTCAAGGAGACTCCCCTCCTGCATGTTTTGAACTCTTACCAGTACTCCTGAATCAGCTGTTGAACCTGGCTTCGTAGGAGTGCCAGGTTCCTTTATCTTCGCAATATTCAAAATTTCACTTATTAGAGTAAAATATTTCTCAGACTTCATTTTTCTCCTTTGGTAGAAAGAGTCTTGAGATGTGAGAGAGTCAGCATTCCAGTTCACTGAACTCGGACCAGTTATTTAAAACCTCCAAGCCTTCCTCACTTACAGAGGGAATGTGGGAAAGGAACACATACGGCCGTCACTAAAAGGGGAGGAAGCAATGAAGATGGAGGGAGTCCCCAGCAGTGGAGGGCTTCTGGGCACGGCTCGTGGGTTTTGCATGGCGGGGAGAAATGCTGTGTGATTCATGGTCACCGTCGATTCTCAGGGTTCAGTCAGTGGACCGGGACCCACGCTGCTCATCTACAAAACTCCCAGCCTGCGATGAGTCACACACATGCCAACCTCAAACACAGGGAGAAGGAAATGCTTCCACGCAGAGACAGAGGGAAGCCAGATCCTAACAATGAGGCCGGCATCTTTAAAAGGAGAAGGGAGCCTGCACCAGGAAACCAGAACGTGAAACCAGCACGCAAACCCCGAACGCAAATCCCGATCTTAGGGCCTAATCAGAACTTACCGGAAGGTTCAAGGCACTTACACAAAGACATGGTTTTGGAAAATGGCCATGGCATTCTGTACCAAGGTGATCACCTTGGAACACTGTTGAATCAGTATTATTTACACGGGCATACAGCAGGACAAAAATATATACACAAACATCTGAAAAGGCTCTGAGCCTCGTCTGTAGGTTTCCACTCTTACAAAATGTGCTCTAAGTACTCAGCCTCCAGAACAAGTTGTCCTTGAGCATAAATTTGAGGCCAGAGTGTTTATTTTAATAGGGTTTGGATTTTGTAAGATGCTGTCTAGGAGAAGCTTAAAAGACTTTTTTTTTGAAGTTCAGTTTTCCTGAAAGTTGACAGTCTAGAGGAAAAGCAGGTTTTAGAAATGATTCCACAGGAACACAGTATGTGAAAACAAATTCCTAGCCTGTAAGTTTTATCCCGGCTCTGAACTGGTCTGTAATGCATTTACACACAACAAAAATAAAACAGCAAGCTTAGCTGGGGCTGCTCCCTTTCCCCGTGTGGTAGACCAGCCATTTCCTGCGTGAGCGCTGATTCCCCCCTAACAATTTTGCTGTATGTAATTCTTCTCTCCTTTCATTCCAGTTCCAGTATTTACTAGGCTTGGCTATCTTTTGTTTGGTGTTAGCAATGCTGGCAGTTGCTGTGTAACATCTATTTCTTGATCTGATTTTCTGAATCATCCAGATGAGTAACTTGACCAGGTTTGCTAGGACTTGGCAATATTCACTCTTGAAATGACCTCTAGCCTCTAGCCACGTAGAGAGGGGGTCTCTGGAACACAGCAATGACTCAAGATCATGGAACATCGTCCTAAGAACGCAGAACTGGGGGACACACACATGCTACTTGAAGTTATTCCCTATCACGGTCCTTTTGCTGTCACAAAGACAATATTAGGATTACTAGAAGGCCCTGAATGTTAGGATAAAGAGGAACATGCTACATGCTATATAGGACTGGAATGGATTCTCAGGTGAGAAGCTCATTGGGTCAGAAGGCCTGGAAAGCCCAGGTCAGGGATTAAGTGAGCCTTAAATGTACCATGGGGAAACAGGAAGCACAGATGGAAAGGGAAACTGTGGAAGATGCTTGGCAGGAGGTGACAACTGCCTAGAGGCGGGAGAGTCGAGACAGAGACCAAAAAATCTGAAGTTAAAAGTCTAGGGAGGTAAAGAAGTGGTGATGCACCTACACGAGGGAAATCAGGGAGGTCACAATTGGTCCAAAATACCGAGGTGTCCAACACAGAGGGATGTAAGCTACTTTAAAATCATCTCAGCAAACTAACACAGGAACAGAAAACCAAACACCAAGTGTTCTCACTCATAAGTGGGAGTTAAACAATGAGAACACATGGACACAGGGAGGGGAACATCACACACCAGGACCTGTCAGGGGATGGGGTGCGAGGGGAGGGAGAT